GGGAAAGATAAATTGTGTACTGCCCTGCTGGGATTGCTACCTGACTTTGATTTCTTGTGCTAACTCTGTGTGACTAACTCCTTGATTTCTCTGTGTTGGTTTGTACTAGGCTAGCCACTGGGCATGGGATTCTGTCCAGTAAGTTCCCCAAACGGGCATGCTCTTAGTCCAAACAGGTTAAGGTCAGATATGTTTGGGGAGAGAGCTAGTTCAGGTATAGTATTGGCCAATAGACATTAAGGATGGCTTTAAGAGAATTGGCTGTTTGGCTTAGTAAAGTTATCCTCACTGTCAAGAATAAAGTAATGGCATTATTGTCTAGAATCTAGACTCTAGATCCTTGGCAAATCTTATCTTGCAAAGGGAAGTATCATGACAGAGTGTCTGTCTTGGCTTTATAGAATGGGTAATCAGTAAATATTGGCTGCCTAAATAAGGGAAACTAAATTTAATGGATATGTTGTTCTACATTTAAAAATTATGTGTTTCCATTGTGGAAAATATGGATAACAGATTTCTGTAAAGGCAAAAATAGGTATTACCTATAACCCCACTGTGCAGTTAAATCTGTGTGGACAATGTTGTAGTTTATTCATGCATGGACATTTTTATATATTGTATTTCCATAGTTACATATCTTTTTACTTAATCTTATAAGCAATTCCACAAATTATTACAATCTCTTCATAACCACAGTTTTATTGACTGTATATAATTTCCATAGAGGGGAATTTAGTCACTTCTTTGTTGTAGGGTATTTAAGTTTTGCTTGTTTGAGATCAACAAATTTTAATTTATAAGTACTTTTAATATCCCCCTTTCCCATCTTCTGAAGAATAAGGAGAGCTTCTTTTGGTATCTGACTTAAGGAGGTGCTGAGCAGAGTATTAGGAGGAGATTCAGAATGGGGAAGCCAGAGAAAAGCCACTCCAATCTCTATTATGAAACACAAAGGAGTTTCCAAGAAGAACATCTCCAGAGGTGGAGAGCAGCCCATAGGGGTGCATTGAGAAAGAGCAGGGAGAGGTATGAGGCGTTAAAGCTGGGAGTATTGGGAGCAAACTGGGTGACTGGGGTTAGGGTGGCCTTGCCTACTTTATATTCACCAAAAAAGATTATTCATATCTACAATTGCTATCATTTCACAAAAGAGAACATGTTAACACTAAAAAACCCGGAAGGATGAAATCTCAGAATTACAAAATGAAATGAAATAGCTCCATTAAAACCTATTAGAAAGTCTTTATTTTTCTCATAATTCTGTGGACTGTTGGTGATTGGCCATACTCTGGCAACAGGTCCCAGACCATGGACTCACATTTGGGTCCATAAGACTAAATGATCTGTGAGGTCCACTGATTCAAACTGAGTAATTCTTGCATTTAGTAAAGAGTTGGGTTCCAGTCTTGGTGCCATGTTTGACTTGATGCATGAGCTTTGAGCCATATGGCCCATAAATATCTCAGTTTTCTTATTGGCCAACCTAACTTTATGATGATCAAGTATGCATTGTTTGTGGAAGTGCTGTTGTCTAGATGCCTTGGCACTTGTTGACCTAAGGTTCAGAAAAAGGAGTGTAATAAATTGTACAGTCCCAGAAAACAAATGGCATTCCATCCACCCATAGTTTGTGCAGTAGCACGTTTTTGCAATTTCTGAAAATGATTGCAAGAGATTAGAAAATACAACTCAAAATAAACTAAATTAAAGAGGTATTTTATTGGCTTATACAGTGGGACCTTGGTTCTTGAACTTAATTTGTTCTGGAAGGCTGGTCAAGGGCACAGGCCCGGGTTGTGGGCTCGACCCCCAGTGGGGAACTTGCAGGAGGCAGCCGATCCATGATTCTCTCTCATCATGGATCTTTCTATCTCTCTCTCTCTCTTCCTTCCTCTCTTAAATCAATAAAAAAATATAAAAATATTTTAAAAACAAAACAAAAAACTACCCCCTACTACTCTTAAATGAATCACTCTGAACACGCATTCCAGGGGTGTCTTTCAGGAGATCAGTGTGTAGCATCTTTGCTTTTTCACATATCACTGCAACATCAGCACTCTCGATGGCCTCTTTTATGTTTCAAAATTGTGCTAATCATCGATTTTACCATGCCATACTTAGTAGCCAGATCAGGCATGCAAACACCTCTATCATACTTTACAATCATTTCTTTCTTAAGCTCTATCATTGTTCTCATAACTTGCCTTTTCACTTTGCTGCTATCACTAACCTTCTTAGGACCCATGGTGACTTACTGTACATATTAAATAATAAGCAGCAATAAAAGCAAAAAAACCCCGTAAATATTCACAGCACAATTTTCTGAGATGTTACCAACGTGAGGTTTAGTGGTAAACTGACTCATAATCATGCAGTATTTCCTTTGTCACCTGAGAAATGTGTGACTGATCATACAGGTTGAGAACTGAATTTTTTCAGATGAAAGACATTTGGGAACTAGGTTTGACTGTGTACTGAAAAAAAGTATGGACACCTGACTTCTAGAAGTGGTGGATCCAGAATCTCATCCTAATGGCTAGAAGGCTTCTAGTAACATATACCCATTCCATACTATCAGTTTATCAATCCTAGTAGGAAACAGTAAAGTTTCACATTTCTGATAATTCTAGTAAATGTTCAAACTTTGGATCTAATTGGCACTGACCCAGGAATATTGACCAGACCTGGGTTGTGTGCCCATCTTTGCATCTGTGGGTGGAATCAATTCCTCCTGAACATGGACATAGAAAAGTGGTGGGATCATTTCCCAAGAGAACATTGGTTTGCTGGTAAAAGAAGATGGGGAAATGGGTGATGGGCATGCTGAACAACTATAAAGACCTACTATAGAGTAGATGTAGCCTGCCAAACCCGTAAATGCAGCCAGTAGAATTGCCTGGCATATTTGGGAAGGCCTATATATAAGACTTTCTACTGACTGCTGCAACATCGTTAGTGGCAGTCAGTGTCTTTGGCATCAATTAAATCCTAATACCTCTAAGCAGAAATTTAAAAGCTTTAATGGGATCTTGGACCTATTGATGAAAGTTCAGGACAGTAGCTCATGCCATTGATGTGCGGAAGTCAAATATCTTTACCCACTGGGGATGTCATCGTGTAAATGGCCCTATTGATTTTGGGTTTTGGCAGGGCTTCTTTGACCCTGGAATGCTCCAAGTTGCCCAAGGGGACATAGCCTAAGACATAACTCCATATTATATAGTCCTGAATTGGACCCAAACTAACTTAATCATCTATCCTAGATAGGGTCCATGGGAGAAGGAG